CTGTGTCAGTTTCCTCATGTGTGCCGTTAAGCCCATGCCTGTCTATTCTCCCTCCAGGTGTGTGTGTTTGTGTGTGTGTTTGTGAGTGTGTGGGAGATCCTGCCCTGGACTCTCGAGCTCCTGGAATCCATGAGAAAGCAAAAAAGCGCTTTGCCAACTGCATTAAAATTAAAGGCATCGACAAGGAATGTGTTATTGCCAGCTCAGATGAGGCCTGCGTAATCTGGGACCCGGTGGAAGCCAGAACTCGCCCACTCAGCCCCGTCTGTTTCTCCTCTGCGCTCAAACTTCTTCACTTCACAGCGCCGCTGTGTTCTGACGCAGGCGATCGTCTTGTTAAACTTTGTCCAACATGTTTAGTCAGCGCTGTAAAAATACATGAAGGGGCATCGATTTCCTCCTGGGGCGCGTTGTTACGTCTCTCTTTGTCCAAAAGGCTTCTCCTTGATAACGTCTCCCAGGTGAAAAGCATTATGGGTGAAAGAAACGGGGCAGATGCACTAGACCAAGATGGAAATAAACAGAGCTCATCTCATTATTCAACACTGAAATGAATAACTCAGTATCATCTATGAAAGCAAACAAGACTGTTTCTCTTTTTAAAGCCCATAATCACACGCAGACAGAAGTCCCCATTTTCATATTTTAAGATTACTCTCAAGATTATTTTTTGGGCCTTTAATTGATAGGACAGTGGATAGCGTAGATAATCAGGGAGCGAGAGAGAGTGTGGAGAATGTCATGCAGGAAAGAGCAGCAGGTCATACTTGAACCCGGTCCGCCCAATTGGAGGACAAAAGCACTAAAATACATGAGATGTGAGCTAACCGCCTAGCACAGGCTAGGCCATCCGCGCCCAGTGTGTTTACGCTTTATACTAATTTTATAAATTAGCCTTTATTAATCTGTTCAGTTTTTACACTGTTTAATGAACATGAACACAAAGATAGGCTGAAATACACACACATGCACAAACAGGATCCTATATGGACAAACATTAGATGTCAGAGTGAGGGGGCTGCCCACAGTGAGCACTCCAGAGCAGTTTTTTGGGGTTTGGTACCTTGCTCAAGGGCACCTCAGCATTGCTCAGGTAGTGGACTGGCACCTCTCCAGCTACAAGACCAATTGCCAGACTTGGTCTGTGCCGGGACTTGAACCCGTGACCCTTCGATTCCCAACCCATGCAGGTCCCTACCAACTGAGCTACTGCCGCCCCACTGTGAAAGTTAAGAACACGACGAACACATGAACAGGAGACTTTTATCACGTTCACACCTGCAGAAAACTTCTGATATTTACAGGGATAGTCTCCCGCTGTGAGGTGCATGTGTGAACAACCAGGTCAGCAGAATATCCAGAGCAGTCCTCCTGAGATGATCTAGATATTTTCAGGAGTGCATAATGTGAAAACAGCTTTTTGTCTTTCTTTAACCACTCTGTTTGAAAAATGGGTTTCTGTGTTTCTATTTGGGTGATGTAAGTGTTTACTGGTACCGTCCCACGCTGTGCTTTGGATGTTGTAACTGAGCTAAAATCAGGTCGTATTTTACTCTAAGGATGCATCCTGAGCAGGCCAGAGTTACAGTCACAGAGCATTGTTCTTTTAGCTGAAGGAGTTGTTGTTGGTTTTTTTTCTTCTCACAGAGCAAACGGCCTCTTTGACTCAGGCGACCAGATGGTCTCTGTTGTCTTTTTCATCTGTTGGTTGCTGACATTTCCTTCTTTGCAGAAAAGAGCATCACAGTCAAATTATCTCTCCATTTAAAGGCATAACAGGACTTAAAGGAAAAACGCCACAATGCAGAAACACTGATCTAATCGTGTGAGCCGCAAAAGAAATACACCCGGCTGTCTCTTTTGTTTGTGTTGTCATAACTTTATTAGCACATTAACGTTCAAAGGACGGTGCTTTGTATATGAGATGGTCCCTCACATCAAAGACGATGATATATAGGCCACACATAGAGAAAGAAATACGTCTTCAGGTTGCCTTTGTAGCGATGCACCATCCTTCTTTTAGACATAAAATAGAAGTCTGTGTTGGCCGTTGGAGAAATCATCTTTGCAGCAGAGATATTAAAAGGTACCTGACTTTGGGAAGGGAAAATGCAAAATTGCTCTAAAAATAACATCAAATAACAACTGAAGAGGAGGCCAAATCACAACGGAGCCGAGTGCCAAACCCAGAGGTGATTATTGCTCATCCATAGACGCTCAAACATGCACACAGTTTACTGTACATATGATGGATGGCAGCAGCTCAGAGCCGCCCCGGGGTCATCATCACAGAAAGTCAGAAAGTTTCATCTGCTCCCCCAGAGCAGAATGAGGAGCCTTTTTGTGTCGTTTCATCATCATCGTCTCCCTTCTGCTGTCGCTGACTGTGAAGAATACCATTGGCAGATGCAGACTGCTTTGGTTTGTTGTGTCAGAAAAATGTCAGCAAAAAGTGTAGATTTAACGGGCCGTGACCTTCGGGTCTGAGAAAGGAAGCCATGATGTGGAAGTTTTCAAAAACTGCATTTCCTCCAGTGGCCACTTGAGGCCATCTCCAAAAGGGATTAAATTCCAAGTGGCAACCTCCGGAGTTGAAAGATTAAACCGATGCTGAAGTGTAAAATCCTGCAGTTCCTGGAGTGTCCACTAGAGGCTGGCTGCAGAAGCACAGGAAGTCACATACACACCCATTCTAAAAAGCCTGGTTTTACAGCAGAGATGAACATGTTTACAGCCTGGTTCAAAAAACCAAATAGGTGTGATTATCTCATGTCTGGATGGACACACACTGTACGGGGGGTGAATGTTTTGATGACTCATCAGTTTTGATTTGATGAAGGATAAGAGTTATTCACAATAAGGCGTGTAGCTGACCTGATTGACAGGTGGGCGCGGTGTAACGGTTTGTCAGGAGGTTTAAAACCCGCCTCAGCTCCAGCTCTCAGCCTGTCGTTAGGTTGACTGAAAGTTAGACTGAGACATCTGACTCTACCACTTAGCCACAGCCGCCCTGTGGAATTATATGACAGCCTAAAATCCACAAATACGTGGTCACCTTGAAGGACAGGTGGTTAAAGGATGCAGGAGAGACCAACAGTGATGAGACGTAAATATTAAGAAAGCCGGAACTTAGAGCTGTGAAGGTGTGTGTGTGTAACAGTGTGATTCCTTTGGGCTAACACAGTCTTAGCTTGTCCTAAGTCTCTGACTAGACTCTTCTCCTCTGTCGCCCCCCGGTGGTGGAATGAACTTACAAACTCCATGTGATCTGCAGAGTCCCTCTGCACCTTTAAGAAAAAGCTAAAGACCCAGCTCTTTCATGAATACCTACTAACTTAATGATGATGGTCTCCATATTATTGATGATGATGATGGTAATGACGATGGTTTTTGTTTGATAACGACGACTTATAAGATGGTTTCTATACTGATTAGAGCTCTCAAGAACTGCCCTCAATGTTGTGCTTTGCCTCTGGTCACTTCCTGTCAGCACCTGTGTGTCCAATCAGACTCAAAGCTGATCGTTTGCTCTTACTGACATTGTTCCCTTTTTTCTAGATCCTTGCTTGTGTTGTTCTTACTCTCTGATGTACGTCGCTTTGGAGAAAAGAGTCTGCTAAGTGAATTGTAGAATATTTGAGGTGATCATGAAGGGTTTTCATTGAACTGGTTTAACGGGGTGAAGTTTGTGTCTCCCACAGTCTTTCAAAGATGAAAAACAGTTTGAGGGAACTTAGACGAACTTGTGTCTGCAGAGTCGGTTCACATGAACAGCTTGTGTGTTTGTTGTGCGAGAGAGAAGATGATTATTTACCGCCTCCTGCTGAAGGCAGACGACGCCGGGAGAAGAAGCCTTTTGGTGAGGCTTTGCGTGTTTGTCGACAGGCCTTCAGTTTCAGGTTGTAGCTCTCTGGGTGCAGGCTGTTCTTGCAGTGTGCACTCATGGCTGCTTCCATCTCTAAGATTAAAGTATTTCTCCAGTCTTCTCTCTTGGTGGATTATTTCTTCCCAACAACGACAGACACTCCATACTGTACCAACGAGCAGCTCCGCTCTGAAGGCAGGCCGAGTAGGAGGCTCCACTTGTGAGCTAACACTTGGCTCAGAGTCCCCTCTCTCTTCAGGTTGCATTAGCAGCGAGGAGGACAGTCTCTCCTAATGCTTTCTCTTTGTGCTGCAATAAATCTGCAGATTTTTAGTGCTGGTGAGACAGGCCTGTGCGATTAAACATATCTATGTAGTGAGCCGGGGAGATAAACCGCGCTGCTCACCTATACTTCAAGGCCCAGGAATGAGGGTAATAATCCAGGACACTGTAACCTTAGATAAATGCCTCAAAAGGCTTAGCTAATGGATTTCCTCTGTGGGTTGCTGAGGTCATGCACACACGTTCAGGAGGATTTCCTCTCTTCCAGCCTTTTTTTACTCTGAATGAGCAGATATCAGTACAGCAGTGATTTAAATAAAAACCTATATACCAGGAGGGTTGAGCTCATGGCAGGTCTGTGGAAAAGTGTCTAAACGAGTGCAGAAAATATTAAGCTAGTTATATCCCCGAGTCCTCTGTCGGTCTTCAGTGTTTCCTCTTTTATTTTGTAGTTCTTTCCCCATATGTTTCACATCTAGTTTTACCTCCTGCCCTTGTGTGAACTTCCCAAAGCAGGGAATGTTTTGATGACTCATCAGTTTTGATTTGATGAAGGATAAGAGTTATTATTCAGTCAATCATGAGACTTAATTCTCCTGGAAACCTTTATTTTAATGCAGTATGATGTAAATGAAGAAAAGGATCATGGATCAAGCCCTCTTTCGTTGATCCTAAATTGTTATTTTGAATGCAGGACTCTCTCTCCTCTTTACTTTCAGAATAATGTTTTCATACTTTTGTTGAAGGAAATGTTCTCAGTTTTCTTGCACCCCTGTGTGAGCGGCTCAAAGTGAGCTGTTCACTGCTCTGTTGTTATGTGCTCCATGTGCCGGGCAGTGGGAGGGGGCGGACACACAATCAGCAGCCTCTTCCAGGAGAAGTTGCTGCGCGATGGGAGGGGAGCGCTCAGTGCTGCAGCTGGACGGCGGAGCGGCTCGTCCTGTGCCGGGCTGGTGACGGACAGCGGCGGAGGACAGAGAATGAACGCATTCAGTAAGTGCTGTGATGGACGAGGAAGGTTTACCGTCAGCGCGGGGCAGAATGACAGCGCGCCGTTTCCCCTCCCGGCTCCGCGATGGTGTCAGCTCTGCACGCTTCCCCTTCTGCTGTCCGGACCGGGGACACCGGCGGAGCAGTGACACGGCGGCGTCGGAATTTACACAATCATCAGTGTGAGAAGAAACGCGCGAGGGAGTAGTAGTAGCTGTCATGGAGAGACAGAGCAGAGTGAAGGAGGACATGCCGACATCGAAGAAGGAGGAGAAGCGCAAAGAGAAAAAGCCCAAATCGGGGAAGCTTTTCAGGAAGAAATCTCTGAGGTCAGTGGGGAGTTTTATGAACAGAATCATCAAAACTTTGGGCACTTTCACCCACTTTGGAGACGCTGACGCGCGGGACGCGGAGGACGACGACGGTGGGTTCCGGAATGGCGCACCTTGCATCCTCAGCGCGAGCTCGGGGATCATGAAAGAGGACGTGCAGGTGGCGTGGGATCGCGTGCATGCGAAGAACACATCGAGCACGTCCTCTTCTCTGTGCACGGGCAGAGAAAAGCTCCTGTACCAGTACGGGGACAAGATCCCGGGTGTGCTGGGGCTGAAGAACCACGGGAACACCTGCTTCATGAACGCCGTGGTGCAGTGCCTGAGCAACACGGACCCCCTCGCGGAGTATCTGGGGCTGGAGCGGTACAAGCAGGACCTGAGTCAAACCGGGCTAAACGGGGTGGTGAGGAGTGACGAGGTGGTGAGGTTTGCAAAGGGAGAAGTCACGGAGCAGCTGGCGTCTCTTGTGAGGGCTCTGTGGACTCTGGAGTACACCCCACAGCTGTCCGTGGACTTTAAGGTACAACAAGAGACACATCACAGTACAGGTGCAGACATGAGCAGCATCAAACAAGGTGTCAAACTTTAACAAACTGTCTAATAATAGCAAACATCCACCAGCTTATTTATCAAAAGAAAAGCAATTCAATAATTACAACAGACACAAATTAAGCAGGAAACAACAAAAAACACAGAATATAAAACAATCCCTTTTAACAATATGTACACATGATAATTACATTTGCACAAAGCCATCCTAAATATGTAGTAAAAGGCTTTTAGACTCATTTCTTAAACTTAAATCCAAGACTGTCAAAGTAGCCCTGATCCACTGTGTTAAAGCTGGAGTACAGGCAAATAGATTTACTTAAAATTTTAGTAAGAACATAAAAATATGAAACTCAGGGAACCACAGAAGAGACAGGCTGATGAGTCAAATCTGTGTTTTTAACAGCTGTTATTTTAGACAAATGTAGCCTGAGCACAACATTTAACATACACTCATAATATCACTTTTTATAATTGCATCCCTGGTACTGTCAGTGTGCAGTTATTTCACCGTTCAGTCAAATATAATGTGATGTTTTGCACGTCTAATCACAGTGATGAGGTGCAGAGATCAGCCTGAAGATGATGTTCAGATGATTACACGTCTTGGTTAGTGATGATTAGCATTAGTGGTCAGATAACTGCAGTTTTCCCTCATATCGCCCGGTAACAAGCATGTACAGTGCTGTGACCTCACTGTTCTCCTGCCAGCTAATAGAGAAGCTGCTGCTCGGAGTGCGTGCAGAGTCACACAGACACAAAGAGGTTATTTCACTCTGAACTATGATTCAATGTTTTCTACATTTGGAGTTCCAGGTTTGCACATTAAGTGAATAAGAATTCTGGCAGTGTGGTGGTCACTGCTTCTCGGTTGATCAGCGCCTGAAAAGATGTGGACAGTGAGTGCGTTCACATGGACCTGAGTATCCTAAGTTTGATTAGTTTTTTTAAGTATCCCTGTTTTTGTGTTTGTGCATCAAACCATTATATCCTAGTTTTTAAAACAGGGATTTTGCTACCTGGAGAACTCTGAAAGAAAACGAGGAACAGCATGTAGACGCCTGACGCCGGTTTCTGACAACTGCCGACTTCCTAGACAGGCCCGGCCTCTGCCAAGTGATGAATAAGCAAAACAAACATGGCGACTACAAGTCACAGCTACACATCTTCACCCATTGCTCGCTTAGTTTAGTTTAATGGTTTATTTGAAACAGGGACAGTGTACAAAAAAAACCATTAGTCTCAGAAGAGAAGATATGCTTTGTACCAGTTTTAGCTAGCTAGCTAATTTCCATCTGTTGTCTCCTGCTTGTCCTACTCGGTTGCATTGACATTGACTCTTGCATTCTGAAGTACAGCAGCGCTAAACGTTAGCCCAACGTTTGAGCTCCTGATGGTGACGTCAGAGGACCTCCCTCTGCGTCCTCCTGGGACTCACTTATCTGATGTGTTCAGGACAACAATCAGAGGGAGCAGCATGGAAACATCTCGTCAAGATTTTAAAGATAGATAAAAAAGAAACACCCCAAACACTCCCTCTTGTTTGGAGTGATTAAAAGTTTCCTGTGTTAAAGCAGACAGACGCACACACACACACACACACACACACACACACACACACACACACACACACACACACTCAGTTCCTCTGAGCTGTGGTTTGTGGTCGTAGGAGGACCCGAGTTCATGCAGCTCAGGCCTGTTGAGTAACTCCACAGCTGCCTGGAGTGAGGCATCATAAATAATCAGAGAGCTCTGAGGCTTGTGTACGACGGGCGAAATTAGCTCCATATCACAAAGAAAAACAAAACCTTAATGCAGCGTCAGACTTTACATAAATGCTCAATGGATCTGTTATTTTGTCAGTCTATTATCAGGAGTTGTAGTCCTCTAAGATGTCAATCACTTCTATATGAACCACTTCTCTTGCCCGCTTCCATCACTGCAACACCTGTTGACCTGATAACTGCTCTCATATCTGACAAACTGAGGGGCGTCCAAAACGGCCGTGTACATCTCGACTTATCCTGATTGATCTAAAGTTCTTGGAGGTTATGCATCAGCATCCTCACAGGTCAGCTCTCTGCAGAGTCAGGAGAAAAACCCAAAACAAAGTCCTGCTGAATACCTGGAGCTCTGCCACATTCCTGAACCACCTGGCCTGTCAGACAGGAGCGAGGCAGCTTTAATAAATGTCCACTAAAGATTTAATATTGCTTTGCTTTGTGATATTTCACATTGCCAAAGCGTCTCTCTCTCTCGTTCTCTCTCACAGATGTGTCTCTGACTTCCCAGGTTGAGTTTCTTCCACCTGAGAGGCCCAGATGTGTGCGTTTGATCTGGACACTGTTGAAGCGTTTTTTTCTGCATCCTCCCCGGGGCTATGTGTTTGCACAGAGGGGTCAAATCCCGAAACTCAAACAGTTACTCCACAGCCAATTTCTCGGTTTCCACAACATAAGAGGCCTGAGAGAGAGAAGGGAGTGAGGGTGAGGAGGCTTCATGATGAGCAGGAATGTCATCCTCCCTAAACCTTGTATCAGCTCCAACTTCTTTTTTAGACGTCTGATAAATGTTGTGACGACAAAGGGGCTTGCTCACAGGTATGTGTCAATATTTGCAGACTCCATGTTGATCTTTAATGATTATCCACAGTGCTGGCTGCAGTGACTCAGACTGTCAGAGGGTTTAGAGCAGAGCAGTGATTCCCAACCAGGGGATCTCTCAGCCCAGGTGGTCTCTAAGCTGGCCAGTGAAAGTCCCATCCACTTTTTAAAATCCTATATGAAATAGTAATCAATAAACAGCTGAAATCCCTCCTTATGATATTGGTTCCCAAAGTTTTCCGGAGTCCTGCGAGGCGCTGTTGGCTCTGAAGTTGTCAAAATTAGATTCAGTGGAGCTTCCTCGATCGGTCACACCAGGTGGTACTTCCCCCCCTGGTGAGAGTTTTGAAAGAGGAAACACTCACTGGATCGTTTATTCAAAAGTCTGTCGATAAGATTATGTAAAAATAAATCTGTTTCCTCACTCAGAAATGTCCGGCTACTTCGTCAATCCAACTTGTAATCCAGGTAATAATGAGTTGAACGTTGCATCACTTTTATTTGTGTCAGTCTTTTCTTACATAAAAGTCAGATGATATCGCAGATATAGTCGCCAATATTACTCGATTTATTCACCAGGCTAATAGCATTTGATTTGAGTTGAGTAGTGTTGTAGTCAAGACCAAACTAAGCGAGACCAGAGTGCTCTGAGACAATACTGAGACATTTAGGGATTGAGACCGAGTCAAGACCAAGACCATAAATATCACTGAAAAATCCTCATCTTGTGTGCAGAAAAATAGCCGATCAGTGGTGGTCTTGATTTAAAATCCACCCAGTCTGAGACCGAGACAAGGCCGAGTAAAAATGCTTTTGATTCCGAGGTGAGACCTTCAAAAAGTGGTCTCGAGACCAAGATCGATGTCAGTACTACAACCAACATTTTAGTATCGTAGTGTTACACTAGCAGTTCTCTACAGCTCGAACATAAATCAAAAAAAGATATCGGCCGATATATCGTTATCTGATTTTTCTCTCTCCCCAACATCGACCTCAGTATCGGCCCCAAAGATCCCGTATCAGTCGAGCCCTTTAATAAACGGTTAAAATACAAAGCTTAACAAACATTTTTAGAGTCATCAGCAAGACAAAGAAATGGATGAAGACTTAAATATTTAAGATTGGTAATGACACAGAGGATTCAGTGTTTATCTCTAGTTAGATGATTACACACATTACAAACGGGCCGGTAGATATTATGACTCAGAGAAAGGTAATAAAAAAACCTCAATGATATCACTGAGACAATTGGCACCTTCAGAGGGCTGGCGGTAATTACTGTTATTACATCGCTGCACAACGGCTTCAGGCTCATAAACATCCACAGTTCTCACGGTTAGTGTCAGAGCAAGCCTTCATGTTTATGAGCATTTCCTGTTCCACATTTAAGTTTCCCGATTGTTAAAGAAACATTTGTTTATGAGGTTAAAGTCAGATTATGTCGTCTGCACAGTTCGACGAGTCCGTATCTAACAGATCAGGGGCCGTATTCACAAAGCTCCCTTCAATTCATAGAATCAAGAATTTCCTCCTAAAGTTCAGACTAGATCCTTGTAAAAATGAAAGTTATTCACAAAGCATCTGTACCCTTTAAGAGAGCTCCCAAGGTGTAAAATTGTTAGGAGTGAGGCGGACTTTTAACTGGATGAAGAGTTTCCCAAGACGGGGAGGAAACAGAGAAATGTTGTTCAAACACGACATGAACACAGGTGCATCCAATCACTAATCAAGACCCTTTACCTGTTGATGTAACAATCAGCATGTGAGCTTTATACTTTTAAAGTACAACTTGCAAATTATCACACAGATGCTAATTTCATAGTGTTCATAATTACACCATTTCTGATTTTTTTCTAAATTTTTTGTGATTAACCAATCACAGCTTCTGAAAGAATGTGTGATACCTAGCAACGGGGTCAACCACTCCTTACTAAGATGAGATTTAATGTCCCTTCCTTGCTCAGAGTCGCCCTGAGAATGTTCCTAAATCACTCTGGAGCTAAAAATCCTTGCTCTGTTTTTTAAGCTAAGTGAGGAGGATACGAGCCCAGGAGATCACATGAAAAAATGTCTTTATGCAACAGTTTCCCGTCGTCTTCACGGCTCGTATTTCACGTCTTCTTCCCCATTTGTGGTGGCTAATAACAGTAGCTCTGTGTTTATTAATGTGACCGACTCATCTTAAAGTTTGGGTGTCAAACATCAATGCTCGTCACTTTTTAACCCCAAGATCTACGCGGCAAAGGAAGCAGCTCTTTCACTTTCAAGATGAGATCAGAGGAGGAGATTAGGAGAACCTTACCGCCCTGCCAAGCCTGTTTATGAATTTATGTGTTCACTTTTTGCACTCGTCAGAAAGCACGTCTCAGTTACTGCTTTGAAGTCGGAGCCACAGCTCTGCTTTCCATGACTTCTTCCTCTGCTCAGACTGAACAACTGAAGAAGAACTGAGCACATTGGAGGCATGTTTTCCTGTTGTTAAAGCCAACAGTCTGTGTCTTACTTCACTATCTGCCTCATCTCTTTATGAACTGAGCTGGCAGCTCTTTAGCGACAGGCCTCTAACTTCATCATTAGACATCCTCCATCACATTATGGTGAGATGGCTAGAAGAGGCATATCGCACATTAGTGGATTATGAAGCAATGATTACAGTCTGCTGTTCCCTCTGCTATAATCTCTCATCACGGCCTGCGCTGCTCCCGCCTGCCAGCTGCGGTTCATGCAGCTAATTCCTGCCTAATTGACTCCGGTGCCATTCACATCTGAAGTCACATTATTCAGTGTGTGAGCTAAAGTAGTCCTCAACCTACTTTGAAGGAAGCATGTTACACACACACATCTCTTTTTTTAATGTTAGAAATCTTGAAATTGTGATTCTTTAGAAGAAAGAAAAGCAATACTTCAGTAAGAGGTGGAAAATGTTCCCCAAGTCTGAGACAAAGGACTGTTGGATCCAAAAATCTTAAACGACTGACGAGGGTTTGTGCAAATTTGCAATTCAAGGATTTGTCTGATCAGCGTTCTGTGGAGAAGCCAGACGTAGAGTCATCCAGTGAACACACCCGAGCTGTCAAAGCTAGTAAACAAGAATTCTGTTGGAAAGAGAAACTAAACATGGAACTTAAATGAGATATTTTACAAGATTTTCTAGTTTTAACTTGAACACACATTACTGATATGAAGAGGATTAATACCCGAGAGAATATCTTTAAAATTTAGTTTCTCAGTCTGTGACTTCACATTGTGCAAGTGTAGAAGAGCACAGTGCGTTGGGAGCTTCACATACACACACAGTCAGGCATGCGCACACACATCGCTGTTCTCCCTGTTGGCACTTCCTCCCCCCGTTGCTCCTCTGAGATGTTCATATTGAAGGCGATACGTCACAGGGACGTAAATATCATGCCTTGAAACAATCAATCAATCAAACTTTATTTGTATAGTACTTTTCATACAACAAATATATCACAAAGTGCTTAACATCAACATAAATCAAACAGCAACAACATGACTCCCTCCCCCACCCTTATCCCACAGTCCAATAACTAAGGTAAAAATAACTAGATAAGAACAGGTACTGAGGAAAGGCTATCTTTTATTCTAAATGAGGAAACACAGGAGGTTCAAAATGTAATAAAACTGGATGAAATGAGATTCAGTTAAAAGCTCTACTAAAAAGGTAACAAAACATACTTCTCTGTTAATAACCTAATGAACCAAACTGTTCCAATCATTTTAATCAACTATTTTCTCTTCTCTCTTCAGACTATAGTGTCAAAGTATGGATCTCAGTTTCGAGGTAACTCCCAGCACGACGCTCTGGAGTTCCTGCTGTGGCTGCTTGACCGCGTCCATGAAGACGTTGACATGGCCGCCCACAACAACAACAACAAGATCAAAGCTCTGGGAGAGGTAAGAATCAAAGTAAAGGTCCACTTTTAAATCTCCGTCAGCTAACAGCAAGGCAAAGCTCAGGATACAGGAGTTTGTGCAAGATTCACTCCTCTGGACTAAATCCGGATCAGGGTTTTGGCTTTTTGTTTTGCAGGTTTTTACTGATAACATCCTCTTAGTTTACTCTTTTGAGCCCCTCCTGGTGTCATCACGTGTTCTGGAGTGACATTTCAATGCCACTAAAACCTGAGTGGTGATAAGAGGAGTCTTGTAACGCAAAGGAGAGTAAAGGTGTAATGATTCAGTGGATTCAGTCGCTGCATCCTGACTCTCGTTGAACTGAACAGTAAACTCCATGATGTGAGCCATTAAGTCAGAGTTATAGAAAAAGATAACCAGTGGCATCATTTATAAGAAGTTACACTCGCTGCTGGTGAGTCATTGCTATTAAATCTCCTGAAAATCAGTGCTCTTTGATTCCTGGGGCGCCAGCTGCAGTGATTTATTCTGTTGTTTCATCGTTGTTGTTCTAAATGTCGAGGGACCGGACCGTCTCCCGCTCCCAAGGATACACTGACATACCTTTACCCACATAATTAGAACAACTGACATGCAAACGCATCTGTATTGAACACTTTGATCAATGAAAGGAAGAAAAGTCTATTTTTGTTTCTCAAAGGAACAGGAGTGCATCGTCAGCATAGTGGTGTCATCGTAAAGTCAAGGTCACAGTGAAAGTCCAGGGAAGTTACACTCCCTCCTTTTCTCTGGCTGAAGTAGACAGTTTTCTCTTCTGTCTGTAAACTAGTTTACACTCAGTCCTTCTACAAAGAGAGAGTCTGAAGTTTCTGTTTAAAATATCACATTTGGTAAATGTCCTTTTCTGTCTGCGCTCAGTTGCCATTAAATTTAGGAATGGAGTGAATGATCCAGTGAGTTTTGGGGGAAGTAGGGGGGTCTGGAGTTCGTCTTTGAGTGTACATGGCTTCTCAGGGCGCACTTACTCTAGGCTCAGTCTCCCTGTACAGAGCTTAAGCACAATGGTCCCCCTCCCCAGTCTGGGCGGCACTTTATGACCTGGTTAAACAAAATCCTGTCTCTGACTGGCCGAAGTCTCCATCGTAAACATGTTTGATATCGGGCAACAGATCCAGTGTGGACAAGTTAGAGCCAACACAACAGTTGGAAGTGACATCAGGCGATGCTAGGAAGCTAAAGATGGTTAGCTCTGATTTCAAAATAAAAGCAAAGACCGTTTGGTTTGTAAAAACTTCCAGTGGAGGCTCAGGCTGGTGAGAATTTGGAAGAAGAGTGAGTCATATTTTAA